TTCCTTGTGTTTAAGAATTGCATATAGTCCCTGCTGAGCCTCCAGTCTGTTATTTAATTCCAGACAACAGACACTAATGGGAACAGTAATATGGAATTAAGACTGCAAAGACATTTCATTCACACAAACTCCTGCTTGAGACAGTATCTTTAAACACTGAGTCACTCCACACTTGTACATTTGTTTGGCAGATGAAAAACATAAAAAGCAGAATACGATCACTTTCATATCTTTAGTATCATTACCGGTTCAGCTGAATTTAGTACCCAACCTGTTGAATGACTGAATGCTCACCTAATTTCCAAAATATCATATGAGTTACATTTTTAAAACATTCAAGGGAATTAGAGTTGTGGAAAACAAAGCTGTGGATTTGTTAATGTATATTAATAGCATACCAGATAAAAGAGATCAAAGTTTAAAAGAGGGAAAAAATCTTTAAAAATTTAAATACGAAAACTTTTTCAAACCACAAATCATTAACACGTGTAGACTTGAAATTTATACATTCGTTTACACTTTCAACACAGTATTTGCCAGCTAGTTCTTCCTTCACTTTTTGAATATGACCCAAGTTCAGAGTTGTAAGTTTTCCCAGTTAACTGACTTACCTATAACAGTATTCAACTGGCAGGCATGTGCAGGAGAAACTGATTTTTTTTATATATTTTTTTTTAAAACACTACTATCAAATGTAAATGTGTGAATGATAAAGTTGCGCACATTATCATCTTAGCATGTTTATTACATAATTGTAGCAGATATACTACAAAGGAAAAATTAACTTTAAACACTAAAGGCAGTATCATCCAAATATAAAAGTCTAGGGGGGGAAAAAAGCATTACAAAACATAACCCAAACTTTTAATATAAGCATTCTTTGATATTAGAATTAAGATATTAGCAGAGAAAAATTAAAGGTTAATGTTGATTTACTATCTTGTAGTCCTACTATAAGAAAGAGAAATAAATCCAGTACCACCAGTGAAAAATTTCAGTTTTCTGACCTACGGCAAATACTTCTTTGCTGCATGTGAGGTCACTTCTAGGAGTACCTTCCTCTCCAAAGCACTGATGTGGTCCTGCCTGTCAGTTTATTTTTAGTTTTTCCACTCTCCAGACATTGAGCTGAGTCCCCTATCGAAGCATCAGTTCAGTAATGATCAAGCCAAACACTGATACACTTCTCATAGTACAAAGGATCAAGATAAAGTTTGCTTCCATGACCATATTCGTTATCTGTAATATTTCACACCCAGCCATTTTCCTCCAAAACTGAAGCACCTATTCTACCGATTGTCAGGTACAAATCCTTAAGACCTTTATTTACACAGAAATACAGAAAAAGTCTCTCACAGTAACTGCTCAGAAGCATATTCTAAAAGCCAAGTAGCAGCATTTCCAGGCACTGGGGGCCTGGCACAGAGGTGGGAAATGCCACCCTCTATTGTCAGGCAAGGCCCCGAGTGTCTGAAAGCCCTTCTTCCCTCCCCTCTTAGTCTAACTACTTCTTATCACAAACTTTAGATACCAGCTAAAGAATCTACAAGAATTCATGTTTTGAAAGAGTTTATTGCGAGAATCTCATTGAATATGAAGTTCTTTGGTGATAAGTACTCTAGGCCCTCAATACATTATTAACTCGGTTTTCTTCCCTTTTGCAGGACAACTGCCTCATTTTACTCCTTGAATTCTTCAATAAAAGCAATTTTTTCATACTTTCAGAAAGCCTGACTTCAGCACTTCAAGGATTTTATTAAAATCAGCACTAGAATTAAGTTTACATTTCAGAATGCCAGAAAACCAGTGACCTAAACTATTATAGTTTTGAGTCCTATTTTAAATGAACACTTTCTACTACTTCTGCAGCTTCACATTTTCAAGTCCTATCAGCAATATTTCAGAGCATGATAAGAAAAAGAAATGAATGTGGCTTAAGTATACATCTGTGTTACCAGATTCTGCAAATTAAAAAAGGTTAGAGTTCAAATGAATGACAGTTTATTAAAAATGCCCTGGAGCATTCTTAATTCCAGATTGGATTCGGCTCAGCACAACTCAAGCTAACATAACACTATTCCAGTTTTTTGGAATAAGGAGGGGGAGGAACAACTGCATGTTTTCTCAGTTCAAGTACAATATATTTCTGCAGGATGACAAAGAGCTGGCAACTTTCCAGCAATCAAGGTTAGTATTAGTAGAGTTACAATCTTTAAAGCATTGGCACTTCATTTTATTGGTGATAAATACAAGACTTTGGGATTTCCCTGACTTTTTCAAGTATCAGTAGCTATACAAAAACTCCATATCTACCTTAATTTAAAATCTAATCTTCTATAGGTACACAGAGATCATTAATGAATTTCACATAGTAAAATAATCTCTACTGTTTACTTACAGATTCTTCAACTCAATATAAGAATATTAACCATTACAGATAATTAATAATAATAACAGGTTTAACAAACTATTACATTCATCCAGTACAGGTTTATGTGAGCTGCATTTTCACAGTAAGAAGTCAGATACTGTAAAAATATACTCTGTTGTTTTCAAAGCTGCTTTCCTTTTTTCCATTTGCTAAGGAAATGTGGTTTTATTTTCCTTTTTTTTTGCTAAATTACACACTATGTAATATTCAGTTATCTCCAGTTTTATGAAGATTAATAAAAACTATACTTGGTCTTTGTCCCCATGATTAAGCATGAGACTGGAAAAAAAAGGAAAGGCTATATTCTTTAAAGTTTCTCTTTGTGGCTTTCCTACACATTTGTTCTGTCACAGGACTAAAAAGACATAGATACCACATTCACAGACAATAGGGAAAACAGATAAAAACCTGGATTTGTACACAGAAATATCCACTTATCAGCTCTCTTAAGTCACAGGCTGGAGACTTCAGCTTTTTAGTCTAATGGATTACCTATGCTTTGCCTAGTGAAGGACAAGTGCCAAGCATCCCAGGATCCCCTACCAGCAGCTGCTGGCA